AAGTAGAATCTTTGCTCACAAGACTCCACCGCTTAAAGGGAGCCTTGCAACCCCCTCCCCCCCGAATCTGAAATGATCCAGTTTGCTAGTCTGTTTGGGTGACCTTCAGCCGGTCACTTTTTCTCAGCCCAGCCTACCTTATAGGGTTGTTGGGAAGATGAAATGGAAGAGAGAAGAATGTTGTAAGCAAGGCTCCCTCTAAGCTGTGGAGTCCTGTGAGCAAAAATTCTACTTGGTGAGCTCCTGGCATTAAAGTTGTGAGCGAGCGATTTGGCTGCTGCATGAATCAGTTTGCTCTGAAGCCCTCCTTCCTGAGCTAAGACAAAAATCTGTGAGCCGGAGGCTAAAAAACTGAGCTAGCTCACACTAACTCAGCTTAGAGGGAACACTGGTTGTAAGCTGCTTTGGGTCCCTGTCGGAAGGGAAAGCAGCACTGTCGTTAATAGAAGGGCAGACCAGGGACTTCTGATCTTCCGGGACTTCAGACCAGGGTTAGTAGAAAGGCAGACCAGGGACTTCAGACCATCCTTGTCTTGGGTGGGGTTCTACTCCCCTTGAAATCACCTACCAGTGGTGGGATGGCGAATGATACACCCTGCTCTCCCCTACTAGGCCTGCGCCCCTCTACTGCAATGGAATGTCACTCAGGGCCAGGAGGAGGCCACCAAGACCCCCGTAGGCAGCTGCTGGGTGGCCACTAACAGCCTGCAGCATTTCATCGAATACTCCCCGTGCCGTGCAATCCAAACCCACTCCGTGTACAGGGCTACGGGTTTTGGTGAGTACGGTTTGGGGGTGGCGGGGAAAGGGCCTCCCGTCAGCAGTGGGAAGGAAGCTTGCCCGGAACTCTTGCCATAGAAATATGGGCCTCGTCACACACCCCCACACTGGCTTGTTTGTGAGCTCAGTAAAGGCTGTTCGCAGGGCTCTTTTTGTAGAAAAAGCCCAGCAGGAAATCCTTAGCATAATAGGCCACACCCAACAGCAGAAATTCATTAGGATTGGCTACAATTAGGGGTGTGTGGCCTAACATGCAAAGGAGTTCCTGCTCCAAAAAAAAGCCCTGGGTTTTGTCATCCACACCCACCTTTTGCTTCTTATTCTGTTGACCTTGTTTGTGGTCAAAACCCAGGGCCTTTTTTGGTAGCAGGGACTCCTTTGCGTGTTAGGCCACACACCCCTAATGTAGCCAATCCTAATGAGTTTCTGCTGTTGGGTGTGGCCTATTATGCTAATGAGCTCCTTCTGGGCGTGGCCAACTCAGGAGCCAGTCAGAACTCCGTTCCTGTGCGTTCCTGCCCAAAAATAGCCCTGGCTGTTTGTCCACCACATCTGGTCCTTACGAAGGCCGCAGAGGTTTATTGTCTAAACTGCACCTGCATGACGTTGCTACCTAGTTGTCCGCTTTCCATGTCTTTCCCCATTTTGCTGAAATGTCTCCAAGCAGGTTCGGTATGACCTTTTGGGAAGGACTTGCGGTCAAAGCACCGTTGCATGCCGTGCGGACAGGGAAGTGCACATTTTGCAGCAGGTTCTGCCTTCGTCGGTGCCTTTAAGTAACAGGCAGGTGGCTACAGTTTACAATCAGGAAGTGGCACCGCTGTAGCTCAGTGCTGTAGTGACATGTCAGTTGCCAATTGCTTTGTAAAAGCCCTCCAGTGGAGGGGGCCAAGGCAAGGACAGCGCAGGTCAAACTCCCAGGTGGGTATTCTGTGGCCGGCGGCAGCAACAGAAAAGACTTGAACAATCACGGCTGTGTAGATGAGGCTTTGCCTGTCCCCGCCAGCCACTGGTGGGGGATGAAGGGCAGTATTGCCAGACCCAGCTTGGGAAACTCCTGGCGATTTGGGGATGGAGGCTGGGGAGACCTCAGTGGGGGACAATGCCATAGAGTCCACCCTCCAAAGCATCCTCTTTCTCATCTCTGTAGTCTGGAGATGAGCTGTAATTCCGGAAGATCCCCAAGTCCCACCTGGAGGTTGGTGTGCTGTGACCGACTGCACTTTTTAAAAGCTTAGAAGTGCTGTATAAGCAGCTGAAAGACTGTGAAGGGCTAATATTTCACATAAACAGGGCCTTAAGTGACAGGGTGTTCCAAGAGATCGGATTGGTTAGCATCAACTGAGCAGATAAAGTCTGGACTCCAGAGCTGCATGCTGAGGAGGGACTGACTGAGTTGAGTGCGATCAGTCTGATTTCAGCCCTAGCTGAGAAGAGTCGAGTACTGACAGTTTTGGAATTCAACGTTTAGCTGAGATCAGTTTAACAGAGACAGGAGAACTGGGGGAATGTTGGCAAGGAAGCCTGTTTCAAGAGATGGGGGTTTGGGTACTGGA